GCAGAGTGCTGAGTCATGAAGGTCTCCAGAAACTACACACACTGGGCGTAGTGTGCAGTATGACTTTGTATGGCCATATTCTTGGCAGTTCGTACATTGTACCGGCCCAGTGCGCTTATATGGTTGCTCTACTGTGATTCTACGGTGGAGAAGGAACTGAAGTTTGGATATGGGGTGCACTTCGTTTCTATTAAGGGGCTTAGTTTCCTTCTCAGCTTCGGTAGCTTCGTCAACCTCTTCGTCAGTAGCGTCTTCCAAAATTTTAAAACTGTTTGTATTAATGCGCGTTTCAGTCTCAGCTGAATTATAATTGGCACGGGTTATTTTTCGCTTAGAATTTAGGGGGCTCAGCTTTCTTTTGATTTGGATGTAGCGATCCATACCAGTCTGCACTGCCGACCTTTTATTTTCGTTGCTTATTGTGTATTTTTCGGGCAGCGCAGCGAACGACGTTTTTGTGTTGGCTACGGGTTTGTTTATCGATGGCGAAGTTGCTGATGATGATAATAAACGGTTGGTCGATACCGTTGCTGCTGTTGTTGTTGTTATTACCGTTGCAGTGGTTAAAGACACTGCTGTGCTGCTCGGCACTTTTTGGCTTTAGAGACATCGATGGTAGCGCGGGAGAACAAGAGCGCGCTCTCTCGCTCGTTACGTTCAAGAGGTCAGTCGAACTGGGGGTGATTGACCGCGTATAGTCTGCGTATATTAATTAATTAATTAATTAATATGTGTGTTTACGATTACATCGCAAGAAGCGTCTTTTCGCGTTGTAGTAGGTTGGTTAGAAACCAATCTACCTATTTGTGCCCGAGGGTCTTTGCGGAATTTGATTATTTTCGATTTGCACTTTTCCAATTATCACTTTTTGAAAGCTTGCACAAACTAAGCACGGTCCGACAACACGTCCGATCGCGGCGACAGTCTGTGTGGAGTTATGGATTTCATACATAAAGGATACGCGGTAAAAATGTCTGATCGTGAAGCCGTTTTTGTTGGACCACGAACATGGTACTTACCTCACTTCGATGTCGTAAACATAAAAAATCCCAAAAAGATGAGATTGGTATTTGACGCGGCGGCTACAATCAACGGTATTTTTCTAAATTCCATGCTTTTAAAAGAACCTGATGAAAACCCACTATTGAATACGATTATTTTTAAATTCAGGCAAACCAAGTCGCAGTATGTGCTGACATTAAGGAAATGTTCTTGCAAGTGCAAGTTCGTAGAGAAGATCAAGATTCGGAGATATGGTAATCGAAATGCTCAGGTCGACACATACAAGATGACTGTCCTTCTATTTGGAGCAGCATGCTCGCCCTGTTGTGCTCAATACATAAAGAAAACATAAACGCACAAAGCAAAGCATTATTTGGAAGGCTTTGTAGCCAGTTTCAATTCTGAAGAAAAAGCCTTTCAGATCAGTTAGGAAATTAAACGGGTCCATTATTTGGGAAAGTTTGAGCCTCTGAGCTTTGTCTCAAGGAATACTAATTTGGTGGAACCAACAGTTCGAATTAACAGCGAATTAACGGATAAGATTTTAGGAATGCGTTGGGATAGTCAGTCTGATAAGTTTGTATTCGATCTCAAGCTTAGCCGTGTCGACAAGGAAATTGTGAGTGTCTAAGTCTAGTTATGTCCATTTATGATCCCTTTGGAATGTTAGCAGACCTAATGTTACACGGCAAAATTTTGATCCAAGATGTTTAGAGATCTGGGATACACTGGAATGACATGCTACCGGAAAATTTATTTTGCTAATTTAAGCTTTGGGTACTTCAGTTAGAGCAAGCAAAACAATTTCAACTAAACATATGTTATCTAATATCTCCCTGTCCCGCTCTCGCGCTCCTGATGTGTGTGTCTGTGTGTGTGTGCTTGACCGTTAAGTTCGATACCGTATATCGTCCTGCCTACGGCTTTTTAACCCTCCCTGTCCCGCTCTCGCGCTTCTGCCTCGACTGCCTCCCACATTCGGGCCTCCTACGCCGCCTCGTCCGCGCGCCACGTCCACGTGACCGTCTGCTGATGACACCGCCGCCCCAGTGCCGAAGCGCGGCGGCTAGGTGCCGACAGCTTCTTGCGGCGGCTGTGGCTGCTCCTGCGGCGGCTGTGGCTGTTCCTGCGGCGGCTGTGGCTGCTCCTGCGGCGGCTCCTCCGGCAACTGCAACTGCTCTTGCGGCGGCTGTGGCTGCTCCTGCGGCGGCGCCCAAAGTGCGGCCTCCTCTGCCTCGGAGTTCCTCAGCTTCTGCTGCCACCCGGCGACTGCTTCCCTCCTCGACACCCGCCGGGCCTCCCATTGTCGGCCGATGATCGCCCGTCCTTGAGGACACCCTTCGGAAGATAGCGTCTCGCCCCTCCACGTCGCCTGTCCGAGGACACTTCGGGGCTGACGGTCTCCGTCCCATCAATGGCTCAGTAAAGGCGATGAAAAGGACCCTGGCAGAGACGATTGACCGCATAGCAGAAGACCCGGTCGTGACAGACTTAGTGGCAGGTCTGGAGATCAAATGTCGAAGGACTTATAGCAAGCCTGGATCAGAGCATGGCAAGCGACGGCAGGCAACGAGAAGGCAGCCGAGAGAGGAGAGAGAGCGTAAAGCCACATTCGCAGGACTACGCCAAGGTTGCCAAGCAGGTCCGAAAGTGAAACTTCCGTTATGACGGCAACGATAAGCCACTGGAGTTCCTGGAGCAGGTGGAATGTTCAGCCGTGACATATGGTCTAGATATAAACCAGATCTCAAGAGCTGTGCCGGAGCAGCTGCAAGGCCGAGCCCTTAAGTTGTTTATAGCCAACAACCAGCAGTGGGACAACTGGGGAGATTTTATTTATAGATTCCAAGGCTTCCTCCCTTCAGGGTACATGGAGAAGCTAGCGGACCAGGTTAGGCAGCGGAGGCAGACATACGGGAAAAGGTTAAAGTCCTACATGGCGGACATGCATACGCTGATGCGGCCCCTGGGTATGTCTGCCAAGCAAATCCTGAATAGGATCAAGGAGAACAGCACGAGGGCCCTCCGAATATTTATCCGGGCCTATGAGTGTCGGCACCTGGCAGATGAGTTCGAGGAGCTGGATGGGCAACGGAAGAAGTTCGAACTGGAGAACAATTCCCAAAAGCAAAGAATGCAAAACCACCCAGTGCCAAGGCCATGGGTAGAGCAAGGTGCGGTGTGTCGATGCCAGGAGGACACGGACGCGCCACGGAGGCATAAGCCGCAGGAACTCGGACCACCAGCCGATCGCAGTAGATTCATTCAGAATCCATCCAACATTTGCCGCAGATGCGAGGGCGCAGACCATTGGACGAAGGAGTGCCAGAATCGGCGACTCACGTTCTGCTGGCGATGCGTGAAAATAGGTGGAGTGCTGTTCGGGAGTGCTGTTCGGGAAACGCACAACATTCCTAGTCTCCGAGGGGCGGCCAGGGATCGTAAGGTGGCCTCTCAAAAATAATGGGCGACCTGAAGGCGGAAGAAATGCAGCAGTGCTCATAGGTGACGCCAATGTTAAGGCCACGGTGGACACCGGCGCCACAGCGAGCTTCATCAGCAATGAGCTGGCGAACAGGCTGCAGGCGGCAGGACGGAATGAACCCATAAAGAGGCAAGTACGGATGGCGGACGGTAGATGCTGAGACGTAAAATCGCAGGACGAGATCAACGCCAAAGTAGGCGAGCTAGTAGACGATACCGTACAGCTCACCAAAAGTGATGCCGAGGAAGAGACCGGGAAATGGAGGCTGTGTGTGCATTTCAGGCAGATTAACGCAAAGTCCGTGAAGGATGCATATCCAATGCCGATGATCAACTACATCCTGGACCAACTTCGAGAAGCTAAGTATATTAGCAACCTGGACTTAAAGGACGGGTACTAGCAGATACCGTTGGAGGCAGCCAGCGGGCAGACGCCAGCGATTATGGGCTGGGTGCCATTCTCACTCAAAATTCGGTCGGAAAAGAATTTCTCGGCCACTGAAAAAGAATATTTAGTAATAGTGTGGGCCATAAGGAAAATTAAAGCCATACCTGGAGGGATACCATTTCAATGTGATAACAGATCACATGTCCCTGAAGTGGTTGAATAGCATCGAGAGCCCAACCGGAAGAATCGCACGATGGACACTGGAGCTCCAGCAATACGACTTCGAAATCGCATACAGGAAAGGCCAGCTGAATATTGTGGCGGACGCTCTGTCGCGGCAGCCCTTACCTGAAACCTGCCGAATGATGAAAACGAAGCCACCTGGTCAACCGGCGGAACAAGCCGAATGTAACTGGATAAGGGACATCAGGGGCAAGATAGCACAGAGCTCCCAAAAATATCCGGACTACTTCGTGGAGCCCGACCGACTGTACCGGAACATTCCTCGCAAAGCGGACAACGAGGATGTGATCGCATGGAAGCTATGCGCACCAACCGGATCAAGGCAACGAGTCATGGCAGAGAACCACGATATGCCGACTGCCGGACACATGGGCAGCCGGAAGACGATCGCGAGGGTGGCAGCGAGGTAGCATTGGCCGGGCATGCACCGCGACATAAGCAATACGTGCCTCAGAGCTGCCTCAGGTACAATCCCAGTCCCGGCGGGTGGCGAGGAGGACGAAGCAGTCGCCGGGTGGAACAGCAGAAGCTGAGGAACTCCGAGGCAGAGGAGGACCGACACTTTGAGTCGCCGCACTGCAGGGTAGCAGCCACAGCCGCCGCTTTTTAAAAAAAAAACCAACACACAAAAAAAAAAGAACCCGAGGGAATCTCAAAAAAAGAGCAGTTGCAGTTGCCGGAGGAGCCGCCGCAGGAGCAGCCACAGCCGCCGCAGGAGCAGCCGCAGAAGCGCGAGAGCGGGACAGGGAGGGTTAAAAAGCCGTAGGCACACAGAGGGCACCGTTAAATTTAAATATTACACGGGCACAGAGCGGAGAGCGAATTCCGTTACCGGTACACGTCGCCGCCGAGGATGCGCGGAAGAACCGAGGTTTCGTCAGCGATGGCGCTGCACGGAGCAGGTCTTTCCAAAAAAGATCGTCACGATGACGATCAGCGCAGCAGCAGCAGCAACAAGCAAATGGAGCACGAAGTGACTGCCGAAGTGGAGGCGGCACTCCGATTCCGTTCTCCAGCTACTGGCGTCCCCCCTGGTGTTGCGATCCCCGTCACCGGTCAGCGAGGCTGACGCAGGGTCAAAGGGCGAGATCTCGGACGTGGATTTGCCGTCCGAGGAGGAAGACGCAGGCCCGAACGCGGCGGACCTGGAAGAAGTCATCGCCATCTCATCGGACGAGAGCGGACCGGCGGACGCGATCGAGGAGGAGGATGGGACGGAGACCGTCAGCGCCGAGGTGTCATCGGACGAGGACGACGTGGCGCGGCGAGAGGCGAGGGATTGCTTGATCATCCGCCGGTTGAGCAGGGCAACGGCAGGGCTCGGGCGGATCTGCCTAGGGCAGATACCATCGTCGGGAAAGCCCAAGGAGTGGGCCGGCATCATGGAAGCGCGGGCGTTCACGGTCCGACAAGGGAAGACCCGGCGGGTGGCGAGGAGGGCAGCAGTCGCCGCGTGGCAGCAGAGGCTGAGGGACGCCGAGGCAGAGGAGACCGCACTGTGGGTGTCGCCGCAGGAGCAGCTGCAGTCGCCGGAGGAGCCGCCGCAGGAGAGAGCCAGCCCGCAGGAGCAGTCGCACCGCCGCATTCCCACCGCTACCGCCACTTGGTGTCGCCCAGAGCAGCTGCAGTCGCCGGAGGAGCCGCCGCAGGAGCAGCTGCAGGCCGCCGCAGGAGCAGCCACAGCCGCCGCAGAAGCAGCCGCAGTCGCCGCAGGAGCAGTCGCAGCCGCCACAGTCGCCACCGCTACCGCCACCACGTGCGCCGACGACACCACCCCCGCCACCACGTGGCAGAGAACCACGATATGCCGACTGCCGGACACATGGGCAGCCGGAAGACGATCGCGAGGGTGGCAGCGAGGTAGCATTGGCCGGGCGTGCACCGCGACATAAGCAATACGTGCCTCAGAGCTGCCTCAGGTACAATCCCAGTCAGCTGCAGGTAGCCGGATAAATGCTCACACAGATCCCAGAGGATCCCTGGGCCACAGTATGCGCCGATTTCTTTGGGTCGCTTCCTCGGTCGAAACACGGGAACTCGATGCTACTAGTGCTCGCAGATTGGTTCAATTCACGAGCAGGACGTTCAAGCGGTTCTTGACAGAGTTGGGAGTGCGGCACCAGTTCACAGCCCCGTACACGCCACAAGAAAATCCTACGGAGAGGGCCAATAGAACGGTAAAAACAATGATCAGAGAACATGGGATGAAAAATGGCCAGAATTGCAGCTGACCGTGAACACTAGTGTGGCGGAGTCCACAGGGTATTCATCGACATTCTTCACGCAGGGTAGAGAGCACAGGTTGCCGACCGCGTTTTTTGATGAAGAAACCACCGGCACAGGAAAGGAAACCCAGACCCCGACGGAAAATGCGAAGGTAATAAACGAAATCTTCGAGCTGGTCAGACAGAACATGGAGAAGGCGGCGCAGGATCAGGCGCGCCACTACAATCTCCGGAGGGGCCCTTGAAAACCACAGATCGGAGACACGATATGGGCCAAGGAGCACCATCTATCCAAAGCAGCAGAAGGATTCGCGGCGAAACTGGCCCCCAGATACGAAGGGCCATTTTAAATAATTAATTTCGACTCTCCGGTTATTTGCAACCTGCGGCACGAAAACACGGGCAAACAAAGAAAAACACACATAAGCCAGTTAAAACCGCAAAGCAAGGAGGGGCAGTCTCAAATCCGGCGTATCGGAGGAGCACTGTACCCTTACCGAAGAAAGGGGGAGGACGATACACGGTATCGAACTAAACGGTCAAGCACACACACACAGACACAAAGATCAAGAGCGCAAGAGCGGGACAGGGAGGGTTAAAAAGCCGTAGGCACCGTTTCCGGCTAAAATGCACACTTGCACGGTTTGCGTAGGAGGCGTGTACACAGAGGGCACCGTTAAATTTAAGTATTACACGGGCACAGAGCGGAGAGCGAGTCCCGTTACCGGTACACGTCGCCGCCGAGGATGCGCGGAAGAACCGAGGTTTCGTCAGCGATGGCGCTGCACGGAGCAGGTCTTTCCAAAAAAGATCGTCACGATGACGATCAGCGCAGCAGCAGCAGCAACAAGCAAATGGAGCACGAAGTGAGTGCCGAAGTGGAGGCGGCACTCCGATTCCGTTCTGCAGCTACTGGCGTCCCCCCTGGTGTTGCGATCCCCGTCACCGGTCAGCGAGGCTGACGCAGGGTCAAAGGGCGAGATCTCGGACGTGGATTTGCCGTCCGAGGAGGAAGACGCTGGCCCGAACGCGGCGGACCTGGAAGAAGTCATCGCCATTTCATCGGACGAGAGCGGACCGGTGGACGCGATCGAGGAGGAGGATGGGACGGAGACCGTCAGCGCGGAGGTGTCATCGGACGAGGACGACGTGGCGCGGCGAGAGGCGAGGGATTGCTTGATCATCCGCCGGTTGAGCAGGGCAACGGCAGGGCTCGGGCGGATCTGCCTAGGGCAGATACCATCGTCGGGAAAGCCCAAGGAGTGGGCCGGCATCATGGAAGCGCGGGCGTTCACGGTCCGACAATGGAAAACCCGGCGGGTGGCGAGGAGGGCAGCAGTCGCCGCGTGGCAGCAGAGGCTGAGGGACGCCGAGGCAGAGGAGACCGCACTGTGGGTGCCGCCGCAGGAGCAGCTGCAGTCGCCGGAGTAGCCGCCGCAGCCGCCGCAGGAGCAGCCACAGCCGCCGCAGAAGCAGCCGCAGTCGCCGCAGGAGCAGTCGCAGCCGCCACCGCTACCGCCACCACGTGCGCCGACGACACCACCCCCGCCACCACGTGCGCCGACGACACCACCCCCGCCACCACCACCGTCGCCTTCGCAGAGGCAGCAGGAGTGGCACTTGCTACAGGCGCAGGGCGCGCAGGCGCTGCGGACCATCGTGGTGGAGGGGCGGCGGTCTCATCAGCAGACGGTCACGTGGACGTGGCCCGCGCCCGACGAGGCAGCGGAGGAAGCTCGGATGTGGGAGGCAGTCGAGGCCATCGACTGGTAGCTCCCACCGCTGATGCACCCGCGCGATCTGCAACGCACATCCGCGAGAGAAGCAGCGAAACGCGTCGCGGAGGCGGTCGGTCGCGAGGAGCAGAAGGCGACGACCGAGGAGGATCGCGAGCCCCAGGAGCCCACGGAGGTTCTGGAGAAGGGGCCGTCAGAGTGGCCAGCACCGCCGGAGACGCGGCGCCATCCTCCAAATTCGCACGGCAGACCTCGTGTCCGGAGCCGCGAGCCCCACCGGAGTGGCCGACGCTGCGGAGGCAGCAGTCGGAATACGCGTGATGTGCTACCGCATCAAGGTAGCAGTGGACCGGGTGCGGGTTCTTAGGGCCTAATAAAGTGGGTCCCACACGTAAGACCAGCTTTTTAATTTGAGGGGTCACAACATAACACAAAAAAAGTGGCCAGCAGAAAAACAAGGCTGCCGCAGGCGTATGGCGAGGGGGGTCACTCCCCCGAAACATGCGGTCCAGGGTCAGCACCCCGAGACATGAAAGGGGCATCATGATCATGGTGTCGCTGTAAAGAAAAAGGATTTCAGTTACAGGAAAATTGCAAATGTCAAGTTTACTCACCAGTCCCTCGCAAAAGAAGGAGTACATTTTCCACATCGGTTATAAAATGGACAAGTATAATTGCGCCCCCCGGGAATTTCTGCAATTATGTAATTGGTTCCGGGATTCTCTTTTGGTTGACCAAGTTTATCTAGGGTTGTAAAGGGTTGATTGTTGGGGTCCTGGGGGTATATTTAAGTTTGGGTTTGCTATTGTTAATTCTTCCTCGCTATGTTTTTTTTATATTAGCTTGCCTGTCTGTTCCTTTTCTATAAGGTAGGAATCTAAGTTTGGACATAGGATTTTATGGAAATTTTATTAAAATCTCTTTGATAATAAAATATTTTTCTATTATTGTACTTAAACTGTTTCTCTCTTTTTTTGTATTATTTCCCTAGCCGATCAGTGTTAAAATTTGAATATATGTATGTATGCATTACTCACATTGCCCAGAGTACATAATTTTTCCTTTCTTTTTTGATTTCCTGGATGAGATCGATGTTATATATTTTAATTGATGTTTGATTTCCTTTGTGTTGATGCATTGTTTCCTTTTTTTCACAAAAAAAAATTTGATGTTGCAGGAATTTTTGTTTGTTTTTTCAGATATATCTTTCCTCCCCTCTTGTTTTTCCTTTTTTTTTTTTGAGTCTGAATTATATTTTTTTGTGTAATAATGATACAATTTTTTGGTGAAATTGATCGATGTCGTTAAATTTTTTAAGAAAACGCACAAACACTAAAAAAAATTTCGTTGAAAACGGCACTAATTTTATTTCTTTTAGTATATATTTTTTTTGTTTTAGTTGTTTGCCACTTGCGTTTTCCGGGGTCGCTGTTTACTTATTTTTTGTAAACTTCTTGCGACCACTAACGACTACGCCAGTTAAGGTTCGATTAAATCACGTATACTTGTCAGTTGCGACTTTCAGACTGATTTATTACTTTCAAATTGTCTTAAAAGAAACCTAAGCTCTGTCGCAGCAGAGCAACTAATATTATTTGGAAATTTACAAGTTGTAGAATCAATCGGCCAGTTGCCATTCTTGACGACGCAGCGGCTGGCTTGCATCCGCCACGAGCATCCGCCCGATGCGTGTGTAGCGGTGTCAGTTAGTAGTTGGTGTTGACGCAGCTGGTCAATGCTCCTGTAGCGGTGTCAGCCTGTAGTTGGTGTTGACGCTGCTGGTCAATGCTCGTGTAGCGGTGTCAGCTTGTTTTTGGTGTTGGCGTTGCTGGTCGATGCTCCCGGAAGCTCAGTACGAAATGGAGCTACCCAGGGGCGGATTCATGACCATGGGTTCGGTCAGGGGTGGATTCATAGCTCGCGCGAACAGCCAATTGAAGATTCATCGGATGGCAACGCCAGCAATCCAACTCCAATCGCTATAGGAAACGGATTAGGTGGCAACGCGGAAGGTGCACGGAATTACAAACAGGGAGATATAGGACATTTTTTGGGAGAATGCCGCCAAAGGAAGAGCAACAACTACAACAATAGCAACAGCAACAACAATAGCAGAGACAACAAATATGTAAGAAAAGTAGTAATTTTTTTCGATCACCATCTCAATTCACCTATTATTGCAGAATGTCTCATAGACGCAGGGAGCGCGATATCATTCATTAAGCAGTCCAGAATTCCAGCTGCATTATCATTAAGTAACGTTAACCAAGTTTATCATGGGCTGAACCAGAGCCAACTTAACATTTTTGGAAAAACTTCATGTTTCATTCTAAAAGAAAAATTAAAGATTAAATTTGATATGATTGTTGTAGCAAATGAATTTATGAGGCACGACGCAGTCCTGGGAAGGGACTTTATGAATCTTTATGGTTTGAACATGAATCTCGACACCCTTGAAACTTATGGAAATATTAATTACATGGCCATGGGAAAAGGATCAACAATTAGCAACTACCGCAGAATCCAACTGCGATTCCAACGAGAATATTAGCGAGACAGTTGGGGAAAAATCTGTAGAAAACGGAACGGCTGGCGAAAAATTTGGAAAAATGAAAACTGTTTGGAAAGGCAATCGTTAATGAAAAACTGTTAGGAAAGGCAACTGTTAATGAAAAACTGTCAAGAAACGAAACTGTTAATGAGAAATTTTTAGAAAACGAAATTGTTAATGAAAAATTGTTAGGAAATACATAGTTTTTAGAAAATTTATTATTAATGAAAAATGGTCAAGAAATGCAAATATTAATGAAATATTTTTTAGAAATGAATCGATTAATGAAAAATTGACTGGAAATTAGTATTTTAATGAACGATCATTGAAAAATTAAACTTTTACGGAAAAACTATTAGAAGAGGCAACTATTGAGAAAAGTTTGCTAAAAACCGGAAACAAGTAGTACCGGAAAAAGTTTACGAGAGACTATTAACGATGTTCAACTGGAGAATGAGAATATTAATGAGCAACAAAGAGATAAGCAAATAATTAGAAATGAGTCAACATACAGGCAAATGAAAATATGCGAATCGCATTTAAAAGACAGTCAATTTTACAGGTGAGAAAACAAAAAATTTTGAAGACAGTTTTGAAAGAGATATGTTAAATATCAAAGTGACTGATGATCAGTTTGTAACTATAACTATGGGTGCGATGAAAGCTATGAAACGAAATGTAAATTTGTTAAAATGTTTGAAGAATATTATGTCAACCAGATTCTCCTTTGGAAAGATGCGAAATGAAAATTAGTTTAGACAAATCTAAACCTTTCAGTTGTTCACCAGGGCGACTTTCTTTTACTGAAAAGGATCAGCTTCAAAACTTATTAGACGAATATTTAGACAAAGGGATAATAAGAAACAGTGATTCAAAATAAGCTTCTCCCATTGCACTGGTAAAACAGGAGACTTGCGTTATGTATAGACTATCGAAAATTGAACAAAGTTTTAATAAAGGACAATTATCCGTTGCCTTTAATAGATTACCTTCTAGACAAATTAATGAATAAAAATGTGTTTTCAAAGCTTTATTTGAAAAATGATTATTTTCACGTATTCGTTAGCGATGAGTCAGTAAAACATACTTCGTTTGTCACTCCATTAGGAAAATTTGAATTTTTAAAAAAATGCATCATCAGTATTCCAACGCTTTGTAAATAAAATTTTTGCGGTTTTGATACCGGTAATCATATACATGGATGATATTATGATAGCCAGCAAAGACGTGGAAGAACATTTAAAGACTTTAAAAGAAGTTTTAATAAGAATGGTTAACAATAAGTTAGAGCTTCGTATGCACAAATGCGAGTTTATGCAATCCAACATAAAGTATCTTGGATTTTTTATTATTATTATTTTTATTCAGAGCAAACGACAGAGGGATTGATGCAATTAAAAACTTCCCAATTCCCGAAAAAGTACATAACGTACAAAGCTTTTTAGGACTATGTTCCTATTTTAGAAGGTTTATAAAAGATTTCTCCACATTAGCTAAGCCACTTTATGACACTTTAAGGAAAGACAAGAACTTTTCTTTCCAAGAAAGAGAACTAGACTGTTCTTGAACCTAAAAAAAAAAACTTAATGAATCACCTGTTTTAGCCATATATAATCATAAAGAAATACATTGCGATGCAAGCGCTATGGGTTTCGGTGCAAAGGAAAGGAGATGGAAAACTCCATCCCGTATTCTACTTTTCAAAGCGAAGTACAGAGACTGAGGCAAAATAGCTATCACCTATGTCCTGCGTAGATTTCGAATCTTTCTTCATGGTAAACATTTTAAGATAATAACCGACTGCAATTTACCTTTGCTCTGAGCAGATGTTGTATTTCAATAGTAGAAACCACTAGTTTTGAGGACAATCTTTTAATCTGTCAATCAAAAGATATCTATATCAATAAGGGAAGAATTAGAAAAATATCAACTCAAACATTTCGAAATGAGAAACGGTGTTGTTTACAGAAAAACAAATGGCGATCGTATATTTCTTTTGTCCTGAGGACATGGAACGTCACGTCTTGCATAAATATCATAATGAACTTGGTCACGTTGGTAGAGACAAGATGATAGATGCAATTTCAATGAGTTATTGTTTAAAAAAATATTAAGGAAAAATGCAAGAATCACATTGAGAATTGTTTAAAATGCGTAGAATTCTCTCCAAATACTGAAATATCAGAAGGCTGCTTTCACAGTATCCCCAAAAGAGACAGACCGTTTGATTTGTTCCACATCGATCGAGACAACAAGCACAAAAGAAGTAATAAAAGCTTTGTCCGATATTTTAGGGAGTATAGCAAACCAAAATGTATAGTTTCAGATAGAGGCAGTTGTTTTACATTTAATGAATTTAGTGAATTTTTAACAGAAACAAACATCAAACATTTGAAAATAGCGACAGGTTCTCCACAAGCAAGTGGAAAAGTGGAACGCATAAACAGGAGCATAGGGTCCTTGATTACCAAATTAACGGAGCCTGAAAATAATGTACATTGGAATAGGGATATTCGATATACATCGATGCATCGAAAAAATCGATGTTTTCTCTACGATGTATCGCATCGGTCCGATTTTTTGAAAGACACTCGATTCACTCGATGTATCGATGTATTCTTCAAAAACATCGATTGAATTACGCCAGGCCTCCCAATCTGCAATGGAATGAGGTGATACATTCGGTAGTTCCGATATCATAGCCCGGCGCGCGGTGGTGCGCTTCGATTGCTACCAACACATGTGAAAATGTTGTGTAACTACATGGTAG